CACCACTACTAGTGCAGAGAGAGAGAGAGAGAGAGAGAGAGAGAGAGAGACCAGGTAAATGTATTATTATCTGTTGTAATATTGATTAATTAGTACAAATAAATTGTATCACCAAGGATTTAATTATATTGGGGGTTTAAGTATGTAGTGATTTTTCATTTACAAAACTACTATTTTAACTTTACTACTGATGTTTTATAACAAACAATTAATTATTTGTAGGCAGATAATTGATTTAAATTAGTTATTTATAAGTTGTGTAATATAAATATTATTTTTTAAGTATTAACTAGATGACATAAACATTGTCAATATCAGATCCATATTCTGTTTAATTATTCAAAAATAAAAGGTCCGGATCAAAAAATGGTAAAAACATTTATGTACTAAAGTTTAATATTTCAAAATTGACCATGTCACACGGAACAAAGCTAAACTGATCCAGATACGTGTTTATATGTAAACACCTGGTTGTTTGTCTGTGAGATATAATTAATTAGACAGAATAAAGCAGTGCACTTATAATTAACTTTTATTGAACATTGTGACATACATAATTTCACAGTAGACTTTATGATATAATATCGTAGATTAATTATTAAATTCTACCATATTAATATCAATATTTACACACTGATTAAATCCTACAACCGGTACATTAATAAACAATTAGTGCATTGTATGGCATGGTATTCAATGAACTGGCACAAATAGTTCATTATAAAGTTTATACTATAAGCAGGCAAAAAATACACCTCAGTACATAACACTTGTGTTGTAATTTATACACTATTCATATGATAGCCACATATAGTGTACTCTAATATAAAGTCTATATTTTAAAGACACCTTGATGATTCAATAACCACGTCATATTAATAATGTCCCCTGTTTTATTTTGCCAAGTTTTAGTTTATACGGTATGTATTAATCATTTCTCAATGATATTGTAAATATTGTAATAATGGAAATATATTTAACTTTAATTCTTATTTACTTTTGCGTCAGTGATCGAAACTAAATGATCTTGGTTTTTAATCAATCATATAATATTGAAAATGAAATAAGAGTACTAAATTAGTACAATACTACTAATATTTCAACAAACTAAATTTTCTTTGATTTAATTACAAATTGTATTAAAAAATTCATTCAAATCACAGTGATTTTCAGACAAACTAGGGGAATTGTTATTTAGCAAGTGTTTGTTTGTTTGTCAAATTTACTTCTAATCATGGTAATGTTAGAAAATATACATACATCAGTATACGATACAGTTTGACCAAAATATCGATTTTTTAAATTAAATTACTATCAGTAATTATGTGATAAAATAAATATTATCAACTACCTTAACAAGTTAGTGGTCACTAAATATAATTTAATTCAATAAACATTAAGCATCCATACTAATTATTTAGTTAATTTAGTGCCCAAAATCATAAAACATAGTGGTGATTATAAATAAAGCTAATTCTTGTATATTTTATGGCATTAATTCTTGTGAATCCTATTTATTATCATAAATACCATTGAATTCTATGAACAACCTATATTTAAATAACAAACTTGGCTATATCTATAAGCATATTATATTGTAGCAAGACAATTACACTCTACACTATGCAATTAGATGTCAGTAATTATGCTGGATTTTATTTGGTTAAGTCTAAGCTACAGAATGGTTATAAATCTATCATAGTCGTTGTTATATACTTTGAGTGCTACACTTGAATTTTACTGTAATCATAATTTATTGTTTAATTTATTATAATATATTAATTATCGCTGTTTTATGAAAGTTATGTGAAATGCTATTCATTGGTAGCCATCGTGTGATTTGATTTATCTATAAATAAATTATGATTTCATTTAGTATTATATAAAAGCATAGAAAATAATATGTAAAACTTTTTTACATTAATGCTTTTGTTAAATAATAATATGACTATTAAACAAGTAACTGCATTATTATTAACAATATTACAATTGGCACGTATTGGTGAATCGGCAGATTTCCGGTGCTATACGCCCAGGGATGCCATACCCGGCTGCACCTGTACTGATGGCTGGGTATGATATACAACATAGTGTTATTTAATTAAAATACTTACATAACTACTGTAATTGCTTAAAAGGTTGCAAAAGACTTCGTATATAAAACAACAGTAAAATGCAATGAATTTAACGGTACTTCCGACGAGTTTAAGGACTATCTCTGGCGATTGAACGGCCGGGCGGTCGACGACCTGATCATCACTGACTACCCGAACGCTCGACTATATATAAAACAACAGTAAAATGCAATGAATTTAACGGTACTTCCGACGAGTTTAAGGACTATCTCTGGCGATTGAACGGCCGGGCGGTCGACGACCTGATCATCACTGACTACCCGAACGCTCGACTGCCGGGCGATGTCTTCCCAAACACTGTCAGCATTAAGCGAATCGTCATCGCCGACAGCCCAGAGCTGATTGGTTTCGGACCCAAACTAAAGCCCGACAAAACATTTTTTGCTAACTTAGGCCACAGTTTAGAGTCGATTGTTGTGCACAACTGTCCCAACGTTGACGACCGGGAATGGGTGAACATCGGCGAGACACTAGCCAAGGGTAATGCCGTACCGGTGCTCAAACACCTGACCATAGGCTCGGACAACAACTATCTGATAGCCGATCCCAAAGCCTTTGCAAAGCTGGCAAACATCGAGACACTGACTTTAAGGGCCAACGCGTTGACCACATTTGCCGAAGATTTAACCGCTTTTAAGGCACTAAGATTTTTGGACCTGACGGCCAACAGACAGCTCAAGACCTTTAATCCCCCGGCGCTGCCCAACACTCTGACCAACATTTTGTTGGCCGAGACGGCGATCACACGGCTGGCCCACGAGACTATAGCCATGCTTAAACATGTTGATTTTGTTGACTTAAGAAGTTTGTTTAAAAAACTATTTTTATTAATTTAAAAATGACGTGGACCTAATTTCGGTATTTTGTTGTTGTAAATTTTATGATAGAAAACCCGTTGTCGTGCTATTGTGAGGATATCCAAGAGATCTGCGACCGGGAAGACCTGCAGCGCAAGTTTGTGGGCGCCCTCTGCGCCACACCTATCGGGAAAAATAATACCATATTCGGCACGTCATGCGAGTGGGAGTTCCCCCCGTCCACAAAACCTCCCACAACCGTAGCCACGGAAAGCAGTGATACTAATGGCACGACTGTAGATCCGGATGATGATACGGCTTCGCAAACTTTTGCCAAGTTTCTTTATAGACTAGTTTCCCACTGGCAATAAATATTGTGGTTAATTGTATTTTAATGAACCGATTTTATTATTGTTTGATTTTTAAAGTTTATTAAAATTATCAGTAAAAGTAATTATAAATTTTATTTATTATCAATAATGCTGAATTTGTGACATGCATACAGTCAATAGAGCCCTTGGTGTTCGTCGACAGGTTTATTATGTAGTTTATATGATTTATCTATAAAATTAAAATGTTTATGTTTAACTTAATACTAAAGATAAATTATACTGTTGTTTAATAAATTCAATATTATTTGTTTAATTATTAATTTTGTTAAACACAGCAAGTTTATTTATGACCAAATATTAGAACCAAGTTAACTAGCATTTTATAATTATTAATACATCATTTAATACTAATATAATTAATATATGAATGATAAAAACAGTGGCGAAGTAATGAACACAATGTCTCTCCAATACAACACTAATATTTGACATCTGGTGGATAATCGACCTATATAAATTGAAACATTAGTTATAATATTAATTAATAATACAATTTTAATTAGATTAATTTGTAAATAAAGTAAAAATTCACATCATGATGCTGTGAGTTCGGCCACCAATCATAAGCTATCGATTTACTAAGTATATAATGATGGTCTATCCGGTATAGGATGCACAGCTTGCTCTACTGTTTAAGAATAATATTAATATTTTAAGTTATATATGAAGGAATATATGAAGTGATAATAAAATTAAAAGTATTTCAAGTTAATAAAATTACTGTAGTTTATTAGTATTCAAATTAATTATATAAAACACGCTTTTAAAATACATTTGTTATATATTTGACTGCGATTTTTACCATGTTAGTAATTGCAGCTGTAAAAACCTGGTAAAGACTAAGTATCAGCGGATTGATGGCCAACACTAAGCATACCAAGTTTGTGTTGACAGACATTGTATTCATTACTTCACCACATATTTATCATTAAACTTATTGTTAATTTTGTGCTGAATTTATACCTGATATGTGGACCAAAAGGATTTGATTAAATTACAGTAATTTATAACCATAAATTCAAAAATTATCATAAATTGTAATATATTATCAGACTTTGTTCAATGAGTTTTATGGTGAAATCAATGTCATTTTGCAATATTCAAAATGTACATAAAAATAATGGTATCAAATATGGTAATCTTTATAGTGTAATTGTTAATTAGCCATACAAAACTAGTTAAATTAATCAATTTCACCATCAAGTTTGTGATTATAATTTTATTGCATGCTAATAAATGTATTGTAAGATTATAATTATTATACAATATGAAAATTTATTAGTCAAATTAATTCATTAAAAATGAATATCTTAAAAACATGGTAATAAATAGACTAAAATTAACACAATTTCTTTATAATGAATAGTTTTTAAAGACTATAATTTTAGTACAGAAATATAAATTAATCATTTTATTGTGATATTAAACAAATAAAAATTCATAAAATCAGTTCAATTTATGAACTATGTTAATCTACACACGAACCGCTCATTTGGGCAATTATATATAATAGTATAAATAGCATATGAATTAACTGTAAAAACATAAGTGTTTAAAATTATTAAAATGTATCTCAAGACAGCGCTGGTATGTGTAGTGTTAGCCATCTGTCCGCTGGTATCGCATGCGGCCATTTATAGCTGCTATTCGGGTTCAATTCCCGGCTGTACGTGCACAGCCGGCTGGGTATGTAAAGTTCATAAAATTATCAATCTAACATATACAAAATTAATCATTTAATCAAACTCACCTTGGAACAGAATGCGGCCGATTTTAACTACAAAGTGGTGGTGTCGTGTGCGGGTACTGTGGGCTCAGCCGCCGACTTTGGCGACAGTCTGCGCATAAAGACCAAAGGCTATCAATTTGACGACTTTATAATCAGCGCTTACCCTAACGCCCGGCTGCCTGACGCGCCCTTTCATGAAAGCACAACAATTAAACGCATTATAATCAAAGACTCGCCCAAATTGGAGGGCTTCGGCGCCAAAGCCAAGCCCGACACCGGACTGTTCAACAATCTGGGTAAAAGTCTGGAAACACTGGTGCTGTCCAACAACCCGGCCATCAAAATGACCGAGTGGCAAAATATCGCCACCCAATTAAAGTCGGCTGGTACTGTCAGAGAAGATGAACTGCCTGTTGCCGGTGCTATAAACTTAAAGACCCTGGTCATTCACAAAAGTCCCGAGTTTGACGATCTAGAGACGCTCAAAGATTTGGCCCCCACCCTAAATGTGTTAGTACTGCGGGCGAATGGATTCACCACGTTCAATTATGTTTTGGACGATTATAAGGAGCTGATTACGTTAGATTTGTCCGAAACGCCGGCCTTGAAAAAATTCGTTCTAAAAACTAAGCCAGATAAATTGACCAACATATTTTTAAGCACCTGTGGTTTGGATATATTGACCGTGACCACTCTAGAAGAATTGATGAAGGCTGGCTTTGTTGATTTTACCAGTAAGTAGCCTAACATTTTATATATTTAATATGAATAATTTAACAATATAGGACAATTAAAATTTAAATGTTTGATTAATAATAATAATAATTATTATTATAATTAGAAAACAAACTAGACTGCGACTGTTCAAACTTGCCCGAAAAATTTATAGACCCTGATAACGAGAAAAGGTTTTTGGGCTCCCTATGCGCCACACCCAATGAACTTAACAATAAACAATACGGCAGCACTTGCATATACAAGAGCTTTTTTCTATCTGGTCAAACATCCCTGGTCTACGCCAAGAAACCATAGTGACCATGAATAATCTTTTTGGACTAGTAAGTTGTTTTAAAGTATTTTATTAAATTTATAAACTACAAAATTTGTTTCACTCTTTTGAAATGTATTTTTACAATTAAAATTTAAATCGCCAGTATTTTTGTTTTACAAATGTTTTTAAATTAGTGTATAAACTGTAATGATAATTTAATTAGTATACTTATTTAAAGTTTGTAAATTCAAGATAATTAATTGCGTTTAAATAAACATTATAGCATATAATAAAAAAACGTTCACTTTCTTTTGCGATTACTTGGGAACTATTGCAGTGACAATATTGTTACTTTACATATATACAGTATATACTTTATACGTCACTGGCCATTTGCCGATTTTGACCATGGACAAGACAACTGGTGACAAGTCTACACATTTTCATACCACTATCTATAGGGCTGGCCATTTAGGGCCCGGAACATTTTCAACAAAATAAATGATGTAATACTGGGCAAACTTAAGTAGCTTATTAAAAAATCGCTTATAGGATGTTATATACATTTATGTACATTTATATACATTTATACATTTATGTACATTTATATACATTTATACATTTATGTATATACATTATATACTGACTAAAGTAATGAAAATAAAATGTAAGTATCAACTAATTCTATTATATAATAAATAAATTAAATGCGCTATATAATACTTAATTCAATAAACGTAGTAAATTTGTTTAAACCATTGTGTTTAACACAATTTATTAGTCAACATGTCTCCGATATGGAAATATACGATTGAGATACACTTTATTTAGTACGAGTGTAAAATGTTTATTAACATTATATTTATAACAAGAATAATAAAATAATAAATATTATACCACAAACTTCATTGTAAGGTATATTTAAGTCACATATACCAATAATACACATTGAACTTAATGGACCTTGATCGTTGTTGAAAGCTATAAAACACCTATTTCAATTCTTATTAGTTGTAAAATTTAACGTTTTATAAATCAAAAATAAAATTAAAGCAATTTTAGTAAATATTTCTCATGAAATACTCATTTATTGCCAGATAAGACACATTTCGTTTGATATCCGCGTGTTTTATATGCCGTTATTTTTGATATAAATTCATTGAAAAACACATTTCAAAATCACAGCATAGGTTGCGGTAAAGTAATGAACACAATGTCTGTCAATATAGCACTGATATGTGTAGTGTTGGCCATCTGTCCGCTGGTATCTCATGCGGGCATTTATAGCTGCTATTCGGGCACAATTCCCGGCTGCACGTGCACAGCCGCTTGGGTAAATAACCATCATGTAACCTTGCATAACTAGACATTAATCATAATTACATCATGCATAGAATTTAGCCGATTTCAACTACAAAGTGGTGGTGTCGTGTACGGGTGCTGTGGGCTCCGCCACTGACTTTGGCGACAATCTCAAGATACGTACCAAAGGCTATCAATTTGACGATTTTATAATCAGCGCTTATCCTAACACTCGGCTCCCGGACTCGCCCTTTGATACGTCCACTTCTATCAAACGTATAATCATTAAAGACTCGCCCAAATTGGAGGGCTTTGGACCTAAGGGTAAGCCCGACGCCGGACTGTTCAAGAATCTGGGCCCCAGTCTGGAGACACTCGTGTTGTCCAACAACCCGGCCATCCGTATGGATGAGTGGGAGACTATCGCTAAACAGCTTAAGGGAGCGGCTGACCCTGATCCAAAACCAGACCCTGATGCTTTTGCCGACGGAGATGCGGTGCTCAAGACACTGGCCATACACAAGAGTCCAGAGTTTGATGATCTAGATACAATTAAGGATTTGGCCCCCACTCTACAGACACTGGTACTTCGTGCCACTGGTTTTACTAACTTCAATTATGACCTAGCTGCGTACGCGGCTTTGAATGTGTTAGATTTGTCCGAAAATCCAGCGCTTAAAAAGTTTGTATTGAAAGCAAAGCCCGCAAAATTGAGCAGCATTTTCATTAATGGTGGTGGTCTCGATGTGTTGACCGTGGCCACTTTGACCGAATTGGTCAAGGCTGATTTTGTTGATTTAGGCAGTAAGTAGTTTATAAATGATAAATGTGATTTATAATTAATTCTATGTTAATATTAATTTACTATTTTGTTTAATTAGAAAACAAGCTAAACTGCGAGTGTTCAAACTTGCCTGCTGACTTTATAAACGAGGACAATGAGAAAAAGTTTCTGGGCTCTACATGTGCCGCACCCGCCGCTGTCAACAATGCTAAATTTGGCAGCACTTGTATTAACGCAAACTTTTTGCTTTTTGGTAAATCGTCTCGTGTATACGCCAAACAGCAATAGTGATCATGGGCGATTTAATAAATTATAACTGTGTTTTAAGCTTAATTAAACAGTTTTATTTTGTTTTATTGTTTTATGATATTGTTTTCAAAATCAAGGTTTAGTTTGCAATTTTGTTATCAATATGTTATAAACATTTATTAATGTTAACTAAAGTTATAAGTTATTATGACTATGATCATTTTATTAATTGCTTCAAAAGCTTGTAGACGTAATTTTATTATCTAATAATAAATACTTAAATTTATTATGTTTACTTCTTTTAAATAAGTAATAAATATTTATTTCATAAAATTTAAATTGAATTCAAAATGTTTTTATTAAATTCATATTATAGTTACAGTTTTAAAAGTTTTACTAATAAATAAATTATCCATTTGTACACACATTACTTTACAATAACATACCATTTATAATAATATATGTAAAGTATATTGTAATTTTACATTAATTAAATGTCATTTTATTAATTTTTATGAATATTAATTTCATATATTGCATGCATTATCTTTAGAATTGATTTAATTTATTTTAAACACAATTTAAACACACGCAAATTAAAATTATTATTGTTCAGTACGTTACAATATAATAATCTTTTTCAATTTTTATTAGCTTTGTTATGTTTTATTAAATATATAATAACTAATGACATTTTAGTGCATGTTTTGAATTAAACAGATATTTATTACCTAATAATCCCATTTGTTTATTTATGAGTGTTTTATAAGCCGACATATTTTTGTATAAATTCAATGTAAAACTTGTTACAACATTAGTAAAATATTTTGATTGAACAAAATGAGCAAAATATTGATCAACATTACTCTTGTATATCTAGTGTTGACCACTTGTCCACTGCTATCGCATGCGGGTATTTATAGCTGCTATTCAGGCAAAATACCCGGTTGCAATTGTACTACAGAATGGGTATGTAATCATGATATTACTTTGCTAATAATGACATTCTAGTTACTTAATCAAAACGTATTGGGCACAGAATATATCCCAATTCACATACAAAGTTGTGCTGTCGTGTACGGGTGCTGTGGGCACAGCCACCGAGTTTGGTGACAATCTCCATACACTTACCAAAGGCTATCAATTTGACGACTTTATAATATCCTCTTATCCTAACACTCGCCTCCCAAACGCCCCCTTCGACGCCTCCACTTCTATCAAACGTATTATAATCAAAGACTCGCCCAAATTGGAGGGCTTCGGACCCAAGGGTAAGCCCGACACCGGACTGTTCAAGAATCTGGGCCCCAGTCTGGAGACACTCGTGCTCTCCAACAACCCGGCCATCCGTATGGATGAGTGGGAGAACATTGCTAAACAGCTTAATTCAGATACTCCAGGTGATTTGGCCCTAAAAACCCTGGTAATCAAAAACAGCCCTGAGTTTGACGACATTGACTTAATACAAAACTTGGCCCCAACCCTCCAGACCCTGGTACTCCGAGCCAACGGCCTCTCTAATTTTGATTACGATCTAGCTGCATACGCGGTCTTAAATGTGCTTGATCTATCAGAAAATCAGGCGCTTAAAAAGTTTGTATTGAAGAAAAAGCCCCCAAAATTGACTAGTTTATTTATTAACGGCGCTGGTCTGACCAACTTCACAATTGCTACTTTAGAACAAATGATGAAGGCGGATTTTGTTAATTTAGCCAGTAAGATTTTAAAAATTATTATTATGTATTTAACATATAAAGTTATTTTAGTATTAAAAATAAAGGTAATGAATTGTCATATTTGCCATCATATAAGAAAATAGCTGTTTAAATGTCATTTTTCAATTTGAACTAGATAACAAGCTACACTGCGATTGCTATAACCGTCCACCAAGTTTTAATAATGAGGACAACGAAAAAAGATTTATGGGCTCGCGTTGCGCTACACCGGCTGCGGTCAATGGTGTTCCCTATACAAGCATGTGTTTGCCGCATAACTTTTGATTTGTAACAAAACAACCATTGACTATAGTGATGAATTTTAGTTATCCAGAGTATATAAAATATTTTAATTTATGCTAAATTATATTTATCACTCAAATTAA